AGCTCCTTATCAAGTCGTTGAGACGTCTCAAAGCCCTTCACAGGATATATTGCAGAGTGACTGTATATTTTGTGGATGAAACGCAGGAGCCAATTGTGCACAGTAGTGTCCCAAACACAGTCGTGGATTGCGTGACCAAATGTTTGAGGGGATTATTTCCCCGGAAAGCTATACGCCAATCAAGTAACAACCGGATTCCTACTTACTGCTGGTAAACAGAGGCACGTGTGTGTGTAGAGTAAGGAAATTTGCCTAAGATTTTGCCCCATCCAGCACGGGAATAAAACCCTAGTCCTCTTGCTTGCAAGGCAAACACGCAAAGCATTACGCTACAAGATTAAAGCAAAGAGTTTGACAGAGAAGTGAAGGGGTTCCTAAATTAGGGATGCAGGATTTCAGTTTACACTGAGGCAATATCTGAAAGGCAGCATCGTTATCATTTGTTCTTAGAAACGAGCTAACTGTGCAATTATTCTCTGAACTACAAAAAGATTACGTGTATAGCGCCTTTCACGTCAGGAGGACGTCCCAAGCCGCTGGACAGTGACAGCATTTCAGACCCGAGCTGGGGTCAGAGGGGGGAGAAGGGAGGGGAGGGGAAGGGGGGAGAAGGGAGGGGAGGGGAAGGGGGGAGAAGGGAGGGGAGGGGAAAGAAGGGAGGGGAGGGGAAGGGAGGAGAAGGGAGGGGAAGGGGATTGACCAATGGTATGGGCGAAGAGGAGGGTCTTGAGGCAGGGCTTGAAGGAGGCTAAGGAGGGGGTGAGGCGGAGTGACTGGGGGATGGAATTCCAGAGGTTGAGGGCAGAGTGGCTGAAGGCTCTCCCACCAATGGTGGGCGGGTGGGTCGGGGGACGTGGAGCAGCCCAGAGCCGACTGAGCGGAGGGAGCGAGCGGCTTGGTAGGGGGTTAGGAGGTGGCAGAGATAGGGTGGGGCGAGGCCATGGAGGGCTTTGTATGTGAGGACCAGGATCTTGAACTGGATCCTCTGAAGGATAGGGAGCCAATGGAGTTGGGCGAGAGTGGGGGAGATGGGCTCACCGGGGGAGTTTGGTGCGGGAGAGGACATGGGCTGCAGAGTTAGTTCTGGATTATCTGCAGCTGTGGAGGGAGGAGTTGGGAAGGCCGACACGCAGGCGTTTGCACAGTGGAGCCTGGAGGTGATGAAGGCATGAACAAGAGTCTCAGAGCCTGAGGGGTGAGGGAGTGGTGGAGTCGGGCGATGTTACGGGGGTGAGGGAAGGCAGAGGGGGTCACGGCTTGGATGTGGGGGAGAGAAGACAGTTGAGGGTTGAACACGACCCCCAGGTTCCTGACGGGCGGTGAGTTGGTGAGTTGCAGTGGGTGTCCATGGAGGGTGATGCTGCCACAGCCTGAGGTGCGGAGGCGCTCGGGGGAGTCAATCAGGAGCCTCAGTCTTCCTCACATTCAACTGTAGGAAATTTGCCCACATCCCGGACCTGATGCCCGACAGACAGTCTGTCAGGACAACAGTGGGTTCTGGAGTTTAGGGTGGAGGCAGAAAGATAGAACTACTGTGTAATCTCTCCCACTGTCTTCATTTTGTTTCCACAAACGGCTTTTCCTCCCCCCGTACTGTCTCGTGTGGTGTCCCTCAGGGCTCTGTCCTCGGTCCCCTCCTCTTCACCCTCTATATGCTCCCCCTGTGGTGACATCATCCGCAGACATGGGGTTAACTTCCACACGTGTGCAGATGACACCCAACTCTACCTTTCCTCCTCTACCCTCAACTCCACGACCCCCGATGTCCTGACAGCTGTCTGTCCGACATCGAGTCCTGGACGAGAGACAACTTTCTTCAGCTCAATGTGCGCAAAACTGAGGCCCTTCTGATTGGCTCACGTCAGCGCCTCCGCACCTCAGGCACTGACAGCTCCGCACTCTCCACCTCTCAAAGCCATCAGGAACCTCGGGGTTCTGTTCGACCCTGAGCTGTCCTTTCTCCCTCATATCCGCACCACAAATGGCACCGCCTTCCATCACCTTTGGCACATCGCCAGACTACGGCACTACCTCACCCCTCACGCGGCTGAAATTCTGGTCCACACCTTTATCACCTCAAGGCCGGACTATGGGAACTCTCTCCTCGTCGGCCTTCCCGGCCCTCCCTCCACACTGCCGGTCATTCAGAACTCTGCAGCTCGTGTACTGTCCCACACCAGACACCGCGATCACATCACTCCCACCCTCGCCCTCGCCCTCCCCTCGCCCTCACTCCCACCCTCGCCCTCACCCTCGCCCTCACCCTCGCCCTCGCTCCCCTCCACTGCTCCCCATCCCCCAGAGGATCGAATTCAAGATCCTCATCTTCACCTCAAGGCCATTCCCGGCCTCGCTCCCTCCTACCTCTCCGACCTACTATCCCCCCACGTACCCCCCGTACCCTCCGTTCCTCTGGCTCTGGTCTGCTCCACGTCCCCCGCCCCAACCACCCGACCATCGGTGGCCTTCAGCCTCTCAGCCCCGAGGCTCTGGAACTCCATCCCCAGTGCCTTCGCCGCTTCCTCCCTTTCCTCCTTCAAGGCCGGTCTCAAGACCTTTCTCTTCGACCGCGCCTTCAGCTCTCCTCTCGACTCTCTACCCCCTCCTCACTCCCTCCCTTCCCTCCCCTCACCCTGACCATCTTCCCCCTCCTCGCTCCCTCCCTCCCCTCACCCTGACCATTTCCCCCCTCCTCGTTCCCTCCCTCCCTTCCCCCCCCTCACCCTGACCATTTCTGCCCAATGCTCGGGTCCCGACCCAACTGTACAGCGCCTTGAGACTGCCTCCCGACGTGAAAGGCGCTCTATAAATGAAATCTGCTTGTTTTTGTTGTTGTAATCTACATCTGGAATAGTGCCAGCTTGGCTGAGTCGCTAGCGTTCTCACCTCTGGATCACCGAGTGTTGGGTTTGAGTCCACATCAGGGCTCCAATTAAACCTAAATAAACCTTTGCTTTCAACAGAGTGCCTTCCACATCAGGTTGCCTCAAAGCGCTTCACGGGATTTAGTGTGAAATGTAATTACTTTTCTTTCGTAGGTGAATGCGCACAGTGATGTCCCCTCAATCAGCCACGCACTGAATGAGCAATTTTATCTGGGGGATTGTCAGCTAGGACATCAGGAGAGAGAAACTCCCTTCTCTTTTCAAGTAGTGCCACACGTAGTGGTTAGAGCTCTGTCCTCTAGCGAGAGCACCCAGGTTCGAAACCTCAGGCAAGTTTCCTTACTCCACAGGAAACCGTTTACCCAGCAGTAAGTAGGAACCCGGTCATTAGTCGATTGACGGATCACTTTCCGAGGGTAATAATCCGCCCCCCAAAAATGCAGTCACTCAATCCACGACTGTGAGACAGCGCTGTACGCTATTGGCTGCCACGTTCTCCAACAAAATACACAAGTCCAATTCACTTTACAGAATATTCTGTGAAGCGCTTTGAGACGTCTAAACAATGTGATAAGGCGCTGTATCAAATACAAGGATTATTATTATTATTATTATCATCTTGAAGGCAGACAGGACCTCACTTTAACATCTAATGTGAAGGACGACTCTTTCTGCAACACAGCACACCTCCAGCACAGCACTAGGGGGTCAGTATGATGTCCCAACGTGGGGGCTTGAACCCACAACCTTCTGGCTCAGGGGCGAGTCAGTGGCAGAGACTGAGCCAGTATTGGAAACAGAAGGTCCCAGGTCTGTCTTCCCTACAGCGCCCCCTTTGGAACATAATACTTTAGTGAGAGAGTGTGAGAGAGAATGACATCGTAACTCCGGCATTAGGAAGTTAACCAACACTGAAATGTCTCTGCAGATTTGAGACATCTGCTGACAGGATCTCTCGCTCATTCCACCCCACTCTGCAGCCCCCACCCCTCATTGTGAACTGTTGAACTGTTTAGTCAGCACCAGCAATCGTTAAAGTCAACAGATGCTGAGATTAAAACAAACCTTTTTTTACGAAACTCTTGTCTCTTTCCCCCCACCGCTCCTCCCCATCCCCCCCACACACACACACATATTCCCGCGCTCACACACACATACACAGACATACACACACACACACACCCCAGCCCTCGCCCGGCTTTACTGTTTCCCTATCACAGAACATATCGATTTCAAGATCCTCACATTCATCTTCAAATCCCTTCACGCCCTGGCATCTCCCTACCTCGCCGACCTGATCACTTCGCAACCCACTACCTGCTCTGGCCTCCGCTCCACTGGCTCCGGTCTCCTGCTTGTCCCTTGTGTCCTCCATTCCACCATTGGTGGCCGCACTGTCACCCACTACACCCCGAAACTCTTGTCACTCCCTCCCCAAATCCCCCCACCTCGTCCCCTTCCTTCTTCCCCATCTTCAGGTCACGCCTGAAGACCTTCCTCTTCGACCAGTGCCTACGGTCACCTCCACCCTCCTTCCCCCCGTCTCGGTGTTGTGCTCTGGGGGGGCTACCCTGCGTGAGGGATTACATCTGTCTGTTCAGGTGGACGTTAAAGATTTCCCACGGCGCTATTCGAAAAGAGAAGGGAGTTTCTCTCTCTCTCCTGGCGTCCTGGCCTACAACCCCCCGAATAACATTGGTCGCTCACTCCATGGCTGTTTGTGGGACATCGCTGTGCGCAAACCGGCTGCCACTTTTCACCCACAAAATCTATTCTGTGAAGCGCTTTGAGATGTCTTAACGACGTGAAAAGACACCATATCAAATAATAATAAACCTTGCATTTGATGTTGCGCCTCATCACATACTCTTGATGTCTCAAAGCGCTTCACAGAACATACTGTAAAGTGTAGTGACTGTATTTTTTGGATGAAATATGCAAGGATTATTATTATTATTGTTATTATCATACACGGAAGGGGATTCCTTTGCCAAGCCACGGAGCCATTTACATTTATCCATTTGCTCGGGATAAGAGCAAACCAGCTTCATGGTGAAGAGATGAAAGATGCCAAAAAGACATATTGTTTTAACTTTAATTTAAAATGTAATTTACCTTCTTTGATTGTTCAAGGAAAGCCTTCTTGATCTCGTCCACTGTTGCATCAGGCTTGACTTGAAGGGTATCATAGTAAGTGCTGAACCTAGTCAAAATAATAGGCGATCACAGTGATTGACCGATAAACTCACAGCTATTATAATAGAGTCCTATTGGAGTCAGTGGTTAGAGTGCTTGCCTCGCAAGCGAGAGGACCTGGGTTCGATTGACCTGGGTTCGATTCCCAGACAGGACGAAACGTTGGCCAAGTTTCCTCACTCCACACACACGCGCGGCTCTGTTTACCCAGCAGTAAGTAGGAACCTGGTTGTTAGTCGATCGGTGAATCACTTTCCGGAGATAATAATCCCTTAGAAAAAATAATTAAAAATAATAATTTGCTCACTCAATCCACGACTGTTTGTGGGACCCTGATTGTGCTCAATTGGCTGCCGTGTTTTGCCCACAAAACAGTCACTACACTTTACAGTATACAGAAGTCGCTGGGTACACTCAGCAGGTCAGGCAGCATGTATGGAGAAAGTAAAGTGAGTCAACGTTTCGGGTCCACGACTGTGACCTGCTGAGTGTACCCAGAGACTTCTGTTTTTGTTTCAGATTTCCAGCACCTACAGTACTTTGCGTTCTGTTTTACACTTTACAGTATATCCTGAGAAGCGCTTTGAGACGTCTGAACGACGTGACAAGGAGCTGTATGATATTGCTATAATAATAATCCTTGCATTTGATACAGCGCCTTATCATGTCTTTGAGACATCTCAAAGCGCTTCACAGGATACACTGCAGAGTGAATCGACTGTACGTACGGGTAATTGGAGTTGAAGTACAGATCAGCCTGATCTAATAGAACAGGCTCGCGGGGCTGAAAGGCCTCCTCCTGTTCTGATATGAAAGGACTGGGCAGCGCTGGGGTCGGGGAAAGATAGCATTGTGGAGGCAGTAGCTCGGAGCTGACCTGTGATGTGTTGTGAAAGGGCTGTGACGGGTCAGGCTGCTCCACAGGCTACATTTGTAGGCTAAAGTCCGTCTATTCAGCTTCATGCCACGCAGTTACCCTGGGCACTCCCTTCCTGACATGAACAAACCTGTCCCAAAAGAAACATGGAATTAATGAGTGCTGATGAGAATTACAATCGCTCAAAGAATGGGCTATTGTCGTCATCCCATAATAATAATAAGCTTTAATAATAGGAACCCGATTGTAAGTTGATTGGGGGATCACTTTTCCGGGGGTAATAATCCCTTAAAAAAATAATAATAATTTGGTCGCTCAATCTACGAGTGTTTGGGGGACACTGCTGTGTGCTGGTTTCTCCCACAAAATATACAGTCACTACACTTTACAGCATGTTCTGTGAAGCGCTTTGAGACGTCTCGAAGACATGATAAGGCGCTGTATCAAATTAAAAGATTATTATTATTTGATATAGTGCTTTATCACGTCTTCAAACTGTGATACACACCCACACACTTTTACACACACATCCACAAAAACATTTTTTTTATTATTTTAATTAAAATATTATTATTTTATTATAAGGATTATTATTTGTATAGCTCCTTTAACATTGGGAGGACATCCCAAGGCGCTGGACAGTCAGAGATTTGGACCCGAGCTGGGGGTTGGGATCAGGAGGGTGGAGGACAGGGAGGGTGGGGTAGGAGGGGTGGAGGACAGGGAGGGTGGGGTAGGAGGGGTGGAGGACAGGGAGGGTGGGGTAGGAGGGTGGAGGACAGGGAGGGTGGGGTAGGAGGGGTGGAGGACAGGGAGGGTGGGGTAGGAGGGGTGGAGGACAGGGAGGGTGGGGTAGGAGGGGTGGAGGACAGGGAGGGTGGGGTAGGAGGGGTGGAGGACAGGGAGGGTGGGGTAGGAGGGGTGGCTGAAGGCTCGGTTGAAATGGAGGGTCTTTAGACGGGCCTTCGGATGGAGTTCCAGAGGGTGGGGGCAGAGAGGCTGAAGGCCCGACCCCTGATGTTGAGTCCTGTATTCCGAGATGTTACTTCCTCACAAAAATCTATCTAATTTGTTCTTGAAAGAATCAACACTTTCTGCTTCCACCATCTGTCTCCCTCGCGAGTCTGTTCCCAACATTTACCACTCTCTCACTGAAATAGCGTCTCTGCAGATTTATTCTCAACTTATCCCGTTCGGGAGGACTGAACACAATGCCCTAACTCTGTGCTGACAGACAGTGTGGGTGGTTTGGGAATAAAATCCATTTGAGTCAGTTTTAATGAATGGAGATGGGAGGGGGAAAGGAGAAAAGCAGGTGGCATCTAATACAGCAGTAACAGATTACTGTCGTGCATTTACATTCCACTTTACTCCATTAAAAAGTCACTTGCAGTCACCTCTCATACAGCAGAGTATGTTTCTGACAGTATTAACGAGTTTCTGAAACGCTGGGCTGGGAATAACACACGGCTGAGCGTCATTATAAGGCACAACAGGGTCAGATGACACTATAAAACACAAGAAAGATTGACCCCAAAGTAATTATAGTCATGCAAAGTTTTTAAAGATGTAATAAAAATTAATTGGTGTGCGTCTGACAGACGCTGTACATTGTGTATCTTTTAAAAATGGCTCATTGGCACATTCCTGATCCACTTTTTAAACAATGGTTTTGACAGTTAATAAGGACAAACTGTTTCCTCGGGCAGGCGGGCCGGCGGGGGGCAGGGGGCAGGCGGGCCGGCGGGGGCCGGCGGGGGGGCCGGCGGGCCGGCGGGGGGGCGGGGGGGCAGGCGGGCCGGCGGGGCCGGCGGGCGGCGGGGGGCGGGGGGGGCAGGCGGCGGCCCGGCGGGCGGGCAGGCAGGCGGCGCCCGGGCAGGAGGGGGGGCAGGCGGCGCCCGGGCAGGAGGGGGGGCAGGCGGCGCCCGGGCAGGAGGGGGGGCAGGCGGCGCCCGGGCAGGCGGGGGGGCAGGCGGCGCCCGGGCAGGCGGGGGGCAGGCGGCGCCCGGGCAGGCGGGGGGGCAGGCGGCGCCCGGGCAGGAGGGGGGCAGGCGGCGCCCGGGCAGGAGGGGGGGCAGGCGGCGCCCGGGCAGGAGGGGGGGCAGGCGGCGCCCGGGCAGGCGGGGGGCAGGCGGCGCCCGGGCAGGCGGGCGGGTCGGTAACCAGAGGACACAGGTTTCAGTTAATTGGCAAAGGAACCAGAGGGAAGACGAGGCAGCCAATTGCGCACAGCAGTGTCCCAAAAACAGTCGTGGATTGAGAGACCAATTTTTTTTGAGGGATTATTATCCCCGGAAAAGCGATCCGCCAACAACGGGTTCCTACTCACTGCTGGTAAACAGCGGCATGTGTGTGTGGAATAAGGAAACCTGCCTTAGGCTTCAGCCTGACCCGCCCAGGAATCGAACCTGGGTCCTCTTGATTGCGAGGCCAGCGCTCTAACCCCTGAGCTACAGACAACTCGAGTGAGAATCCTGAGAGCTGGGAGCTTGGTGGACGCCGGCAATAGCACAAGCCTTTGCCAAGAGAAACACTTTAGATAAACACGAGGCTTGGCCCCGCATCAGCGAATCATTGTAACCTCGTGTTCTGACGCTCAGCTTTTCCACTGGAGGTGTTTAAAGTTTCCCAGAAACGCTTCAATTAGTTCTGACCCTTTTTTTTGTGAACCAGAGATGGGAATTAATTGTGACTTCAAAGTCTTGCTCTTTGGTTCAACAGGTTTGGCAGTTGCCTTTTCAAACGTCTCTCTGTGTTAAGCGGCAGCTGCTATGATACACACTCAGACCGTATCTGTGGTTCCTGCGTTTTGAATGGGCCACATTTCTAAATTATCACTGGAACGCAAGCAATTATCTGTCCTTTCTTCTCTCTCTTTCTCTCTCCCGCTATGTCCGGCTCCGCACTTTGCTTTAGGCTGCTTTTAATCATAATAATAATTCTGTAGCTCTGTAGCTCAGTGGTTAGAGCGCTCGCCACGCAAACGAGAGATCCCAGGTTGAATTCCCAGTCTGGTCAGCGCGAAACCTTAGGCGAGTTTCCTTACTCCACACCCACATGCCTCTGTTTACCAGCAGTAAGTAGGAACCCACTTGTTAGTCGATTGGCGGATCGCTTTCTAGGATAATAATCCCTTCAAAAAAAAACATAATCACTCAATCCAGGATTGTTTGCTGTGCGCAATTGGCTGCCGTGTTTCGCCCACAATGTATACTGTCAATTCACTTTACAGTATATTCTATGAAGTGCTTTGGGACGTCTTGAAGACGTGAAAAGCGCAATATCAAATGCAAGGATTATTATTAGTGGAGTCCTGTAGCTCAGTGGTTAGAGCACTCGCTTTGCAAGCGAGAGACCTGAGTTCAATTCCAGGCAGAGGGCGAAACCTCGGGCAAGTTTCCTTACTCCACACAGAGCCTAATAATAATCCCTCCAAAACAAAACAATAATAAATTGGTCATTTTCAATCTACGACTGTTTGTGGGACATTGCTGCCGCTTTCGCCCACAAATATAGTCAATTCACTTGGCAGTGTGTTCTGTGAAGCGCTTTGGGACTTCTCAACGATGTGATAAGTCTCTATATCACATACAAGGATTATTATTATCATCAAAGAGTGATCAGCAATGCATTACTCTCTTGAACATACATACCCTTTACCACAACACTGAATTGAAATGGCTTTGTAAAGAGCACTGGAACTGCGAGAAAATCATGTTGGAATAATTCATTCACAAGACACCATAACAACAACAACTTGTATTTATATACAGCCCTTCACGCAGGGCTGTGTCTCGAAGCGCTTAACAGTGGCGGAGCCTGACACTGAGCTGCGAGAAGAGAGGAAATGACCGTAAACACGGTTGAAGAGGAAAGTCTTTAGTCATAATCTAAAAGGAAGGGAAGGAGGGGGCAAGGCAGAGGGATTGGGGGAGAGTTCCAGAGTTTCAGGGCATAGTGGCTGAAAGCGCAGCCACCGATGGTGGAGCGGAGGATACATGGGCCGAGCAGGAGGCCGGAGGCAGTCGAGCAGAGGCAGCGGGTGGTGGAGTGAGTGAGAAAGCAGGTCAGGTCAGAAGTTAGGGAGCACGAGAGAGAGCGAGCGAGAGAGCGAGAGAGCGATCAGTGAGTGTGAATTGCCCTCCGAGAGCAGCGGCAAAATCTTCAACACTGAGCCCAACTGTACACTGTCAGCCATGTGCAAACCCAACGGTCACTTGAGGGAGAGAGGCCTCCAAGAGGAGAGAGAGGGGGAGGGGGCAGGGGAGAGGGAGGGAGAGGGGGAGAGGGTGGGGGAGGAGGGAGGGGGAGAGGGAGGGGGAGGGGGAGAGAGCGGGGGAGAGGGAGGGGGAGAGGGCGGGGAAGAGGGAGGGGGAGGATCTGGCCCTCAGCACACGCTATAAACAGGATTTGTTACAGGGATCACAGTCACTTTCACAGAACTAATCTGAGAAGATACAGTGTAATTGCAGCCCCCGCCCCGAGGCTCCGGAATCCCCCCCTCACCCCCTCCCCACGTCCCCTCTCTTCCTACCTTCAGGTCTCGGCTGAAGACCTTTCTTTTTGACCGCACCTTTGGTCACCTTCCCACCCCCTCCCCCGGCTCCCCCCCTCCCTCCGGCTCCCCCCCTCCCTCCGGCTCCCCCCTCCCCCCGGCTCCCCCCTCCCCCCGGCTCCCCCCCCTCCCCCCGGCTCCCCCCGCCCCCGGCTCGGCCCCGGGATTCATTACTGTGAAGCTCTGAGACGCCGCCCGGAGTGGAGGGCGTTATATACATCCAAGTTGTTGTTGTTGTTGCTGCTGCTGAGAAAATTGGTTCTTTCGTCAATCACTGGGATCACTGCCCGGAAACCACTCCACAACGGCTGAGAGCGCTCACCGCGAGAGGTTCTGTGCTTTGGATGAGACATAAACTGACGAGTGCCCCGTTCAGGTGGATCCCACGGCAGTTTCTCTCTCTCTCTCCCAGTGTCCGGGCCAACAACCCCCCAAATAAAACTGGTCACTCACACTCCATGGCGCTTTTTTGGGAAACTGCTGTACACAAATTGGTTTGATTCCCGGGCAAAACCCTGGCAAGTTTCCTTCCTCCCCACACGCTGTTTATCCAGCAGTAGGTAGGAACACAGTTGTTAGTCGATTAGTGGGATCGCTTTCCCGGGAGGGTGAACAATAATACTACTGATAATAATAAGGTCACTCAATCCACGGTTCTTTGTGGGACGCTGCCGCGTTTCACCCACAAAATATAAAGTTAATTCACTTTACAGTATATTCTGTGAAATGCTTTGAGACGTCTCAACGACATGATGAGGCGCTGCATCAAATGCAAGATTATTATTGTTAATATTGAGGGCTGAAAGGCTTCCTACAACTCCTAGTTTGTGGCCTTAGGTACCCCATTCTTCCTCCAAACCCCAAGGACCTTAGTCAATCTAAGATAAGTATAAATCAAACTGCTTTAGTTATCACCATTCCTTACGAGAATGTAGGCCGTTCATTGCTGCTATGAATCATACCTTTCGAAAAGAACACACACAGCCAAGAGGGGATGAGAGGCTGCGATGTTCCATTACTCCTCCAGATAAACTCACCATTTGCCTCTTGGTTGTTTAAGGGAATTTGCTGTCACGTTTGCCTAAAAATGCAGTCATTACACTTGACAGCAATTCTCTGTGCCTTTGGTCACCCTCCTACCGCACATTCCCTGCCCTTCGCCGCTCCTAATCCTAACCCGCAGCTCGTGTCCAAATCCCTGACTGTCCAGCGCCTTGGGACGTCCTCCCGATGTGAAAGGCGCTGTGTAAATGTCATTTGTTGTTGTTGTCCATCTCAGTTTAACATGACACCCAAAGGACAGCGTCTGCAACTGACCGAAAGGCAACTCGTGAGAGAATAATAATAATCCTTGCATTTGATACAGCGCCTTATCACGTCTTCGAGACGTCTCAAAGCGCTTCAGAGGGAATACTGTGAAGTGAATTGACTGTATATTTTGTGGGTGAAATCTAGAACCTCATCAACTGACTTCAGAAAAGTCTCGTTTTGTAAAGGAGCTTCAAAAATGCCTCAAATTAATGTGGCAAAGGTGTGTGTTTCAAGCAGTCCGGAGCCGGCAAGGACATGGTTAGCGAGAGGTCTGTTGAAACTCACTCACTCTGCCGCGTCGCAATCTTCTCAGACGCAATCTCTGGATAGATTAATTTGCTCCCACCGCCCCCGACTGAAACGTGCACATGAGGGATTATCTTTTATGAGCTTTTAATTACTGGAGTTCCTCACTGCCGGGCAGGAGGAGGATGAGTTAGTGACAGTGCGTTAGGAGTTAACCTCACAGTCTTGACACTTGTGATAGCAGATTAGTTAACGATGGATCGATTGATAGGGTTAGCAGGGAGTTGCCAATGACAGACACCAGAGGGATATACAGTTTCGCCCACAAAATACTCATTATTATTATTATGAAACTCTCACAACACATATTAATTAAGCAAACTACAATTTATAATAATAATAATCCTGGCATTTGATACAGCGCCTTATCACGTTGCTGAGACGTCTCAAAGCGCTTCACAGGATACACCGTAAAGTGAACTGACTTTGTATTTTGTGGCCGAAACGCGGCAACCAATTGCGCACAGCGACGTCCCACAAACTGTGACCAAGTTATTTATCTATTCAATTATTGAAGGGATTGTTACCCCTGGAAAGCGATCCGCCAATCGACCCACAGGTTCCTACTTACTGCTGGTAAACAGAGGTGTGCGTGTGCGGTCAGGAAAATAGCCGAAGGTTTCACCCTTCCTGGAATCAAAGCCCGGATCCACTATACACTCAATCCACTTTACTGTATATTCTGTGAAGAGCCTTCAGACATCTCAAAGATGTAATAAGGCCCTCTATCAACAACAACAACAAGATTGCATTTATAGAGCGCCTTTCACGTCGGGAGGACGTCCCAAAGCGCTGGACAGTTGGGTCAGGACCCGAGCAGTGGGGGGAAATGGTCAGGGTGAGGGGAGGGGAGGGAGGGAGCGAGGAGGGGGGAGATGGTCAGGGTGAGGGGAGGGGAGGGAGGGAGCGAGGAGGGGGAAATGGTCAGGGTGAGGGGAGGGAAGGGAGGGAGCGAGGAGGGGGGGGATGGTGAGGGTGAGGGAAGGGAGGGAGCGAGGAGGGGGTAGAGAGTCGAGTGCTGAAGGCTGAAGGTCAAAGAGAAAGGTCTTGAGACCGGCCTTGAAGGAGGAAAGGGAGGAAGCGTCGAAGGCACTGGGGATGGTGTTCCAGAGCCTCGGGGCTGAGAGGCTGAAGGCCACCGATGGTCGGGCGGTTGGGGCGGGGGATGTGGAGCAGAGTATTATTATTATTAGAAACTGTCCCAGCTCCATGATTTGGTGGAGTGCCACTGATGTGTGTTTGCTTACAAACAGTCACTACACTCCACTGCAACTGTCTGTCAAACACTTTTAAGATTGTTGATGCTGGAATCGATGCATTGTTTGTTCTTCATGTCCACACTATAAAAAAGATTTAAGACCTGATGTAAATCAAAAAAACTTTGAGATAGAAGTCAAGAAACCACAAGAACAATGCGGATGATATTTGCAAAACATATCTGAACTCTGAGGTGAGATAAGAACCTCAGGAACTCCTTCCCACACATTGTTCATCATTTATACAACAGGTTTGACAAAATGCTCCGACAAACTGGTGCTTAACTATATGGCAATAGTCCTTGCGAGGTGGGGGGGGGAGGGGAGGGGAGGGGGGGGCGGGGGGGGAGGGGGGGAGGGGGGGGGAGGGGGGGAGGGGGGAGGGGAGGTGAGGGGGGAGGTGGGGGGAGGGGGGGGGGGGCGAGGTGGGGGGGAGGGGGGGGAGGTGGGGGGAGGGGGAGGGGAGGTGGGGAGGGGGGGAGGGGAGGGGGGCGAGGTGGGGGGAGGGGGGAGGGGGGAGGGGGGGAGGGGGGGGCGAGGTGGGGGAGGGGGGGGGAGGGGGGAGGGGAGGTGAGGGGGAGGTGGGGGAGGGGGGAGGGGGGGAGGTGGGGGGGAGGGGGGAGAGGTGGGGGAGGTGGGGGGAGGGTGGGCGAGGTGGGGGGAGGGGGGAGAGGGGGGGGAGGTGGGGGGAGGGGGGAGAGGGGGGGGGGGGGGCGAGGTGGGGGGGAGGGGGGGAGAGGGGGGAGGGGGGGGAGGTGGGGGGGGGGAGGTGGGGGGAGGGGGCGAGGTGGGGGGAGGGGGGAGAGGTGGGGGAGGGGGGGAGGTGGGGGGGAGGGGCGAGGGGGGGAGGGGAGGGGGGGAGGTGGGGGGGGCGGTGTTTACACAGGCGACATAGTAATCAAGTGGAAGAGAAGGTGGGCCGTTTACCTGGACTGTGTGCTGGTCAGTGGGCCGCCA